GCAGACTCGCTGCGTGATCTGCTGCGGGTCTGAACCTGCGCGCTGCGCTTCTCCAGGGGCTCCTGCCGTCCCCGCTCGGCGCCCTCGGCTGCTCGAGCAGCCCTGCTGGGGAGAGTCGCGGATGGCGCTGCGTCGGCCCCGCGGCGGGTCGGGTCTGGTCTCCCGCGTTGGCGCCCACGCGCCTTCCTAGCAGGAGCCTCCAGCGGTTCGCTCGGCCGCACGTGCTGCCTCTGATAGCGCAAGTGGAGAAGTGACCCTGCCCGGCGTTCCAACCGCGGAGCTGGGACGACCCTTGCCCCGCCGGGCCAGCCAGAGCTCCGTGCAGTTCTAAACCCGGGGCAGGTGGATACATTCCTTGGAGCTAGTTCTGAACTTGTGGGCTGTAGCAACTAACTCAAAGCAAGTCCACTTTACAGTTATCTTACAATTGAGCTAATGCAGTGCTGTACCAAAAAAAAAAAAAAAAAAAAAATGGTTTGGACTTAAGGGAATTTATCTTAAATCTCTCAATATGAGTTTTACTTGCTGAAAGATCAAAAAAGAAGAGGCCTTATTACAAATAAGTCTCTTGAGTACCCCACAGGTCATTGGTTCTCAAAGTAGGATCTTAAGACCCAGCAACATCAATGTGATGTAGGAGTTTGCAAACATATGGCTCCACCCAGACCTACTGCACCAGAATTTCTGGATATAGGGCTCAGAAACCTGTGTTTTAGTAAGTTCTCCAGGGATTGTTATGAACAGTAAAGTTTGTGAACCACTGACCTAAACAAGGAACATTAAGGAACTACCAGTGTATTCTCTATACAAAGTTTAATTATTCATACTAGGCCTTTAGATAGTTGGCAAAAGAGAAGTACTAATTTATACTTTTTTTTAAATCCTCACCAAGGATATTTTTTCCATTGCTTTTCAAAGAGAATGGAAGGGAGAAAGAAAGAGAGAGAGAGTGATGAATGGGAGAGAGACACAATGATCGGTTCCAACTGGGATAGAAAGCAGGACCCTTCAGTCGGAAGCCTCTTGCTCTAACCAGTGAGCACACCGGCCAGGGCACTAACTTACACTATTTTAAAACCACAACTTGCAAAAGCTCTGCAGGAGAAAAACAGATTCTAAAATTTTAATGGACTTAACAGGTATTAAGCTCTGAAATAAGTCAGTCAGAGAAAGACAAATGCCATATGATTTTACTCATGTTAAATTTAAGAACAAAATAAACAAAATTGAAATAGACTCAGACACAGAGAGGGGAGAAGGCTTGGGGGACTGGGTGAAAGGTGAAGGGACTAAGAAGCACAAATTGGTAGTTACAAAATAGTCACAGGGAAGTAAGTAAAGCACAGGAAATAAAGTCAATAATGTGAGAACTATGTATGGTGCTAGTTGGGGTACTGGAAATATCAAAGGAAACACTATGTAAAGTATATGGTTGTCTAACCACTAAGCTGTACACCTGAAATCAATACAACATAAAACTCAAAGAAAAAATAAAATTTTAGAAAAATACCACATCGCTAACAGGCAGGAGAAGATGATACAAGTAAAAGGGAAAATGAGAAACTGGTACCCCTATTGTTATATTATTTCTTAAACATGGTATATAATACTAAGTATATTTTGTTTGAACCATATAAAATTGCCATTTTTGAAGACAAAAACCATTGAATATTACAACATAATATGGTTCAATTTAATACGTATGATTTCCAGTTAAATGCACAAAATACAAAAACTAGTTCATACATTGTTTTTACTTATTAAGTTGAACTATTAAAATCTGTTAATCATATCTGACAAGTTTAAAGTGAAAAATTGGAGAGACTTGCTGCTTATGTGATTACATATGCAAAAACCAAGTTTCTCATATTCGATTATATTTTTTATTAAAATTACTGAGCTTGAAATGTTTACCAAAAAGTTTTCAGAAATTTGTCCTATTTAGATAGAGTAAAGCTTTTGAGCAATGTGTCAGTCTTTTACTAATTAAATATGAGGTAGTGAGTGAAATATAGGATAACTTATTCAACAAATAATGAAACCCTATTATATACTAAACGCTAAAATCAAAATTCAGAGCTCATAGAAAACATGGCCCTCATTTTCCAATGAGGACACTGAGTCTCCCACAGTCACACAATGAATTAATAGTATAGCTGGAATTCAATTCCAGGATTCTATCTTCCAATAGCAATGAGATTGTATATTTAAATATTAACCACAGGCCAAACTACATTCTGTCACACAGAAACCTAAAATAATTAAATGCCCCCAAATAAGCTTTATTTACTCATATATAAGTAGGGAATTTTTTAAGTTAAAAAAAAAAAAGCCAACTATTAAACCCCAAGGCACACACTGAACCAAATTCCACATTTATTCCTTGAGAGCTTACTAAATTTCAGCATTTTCCCATGTGTTGGCAATGTAACAGTTAAAATCCCTCATGGAGCATATAATCTAATGGAGGCAATCCAACCATTACTTACTTGCAATGTAAGTAAAATTTTACCTTCCCTAGATTATTTCAGGAAATACAGTAATACTCCCTGGTCAAGATTTAAAGTCAGCCTTTTGATGTTACTTGTTATTTTCAAGAGTACCTTAATTTCTGAATCTTATCCTGAGGAAGTGGGTGCATGCTTGTGATCTCACTAAGCCCTCAATTTCTCAAGACTCCTATGGATTCATTCAGAAGACCCTCTCAGACATCCTCCAAATACCCTGTTCGAAAATTGCTGCCCGGCCGGGCGTGGCTCAGCGGTTGAGCGTCGACCTAGGATCCAGGCGATCAGGGTTCCATTCCCGTTCAGGGCACATGCCCAGGTTGTCGGCTTGATCAATGACTCTCTCATCATTGATGTTTCTCTCTCTCTCTCTCCCTCTCCTTTCCTCTCTCTGAAATCAATAAAGGTATATATTTTTTTAAAAAAGTATATTAGAAAATTGCTACCTCTTTTTAATCTCTCTGAACTAGAACAGATTTGAGTAACAAGAGCAAGGCCTGATATCACATGTAATTTAGAATACTTGAGGAGATAGAGCCTAGGTGTAAGAACATTATGGAGCTTGGGAATCAGCCAGTGGCAGTCCAGAGTCAACAAGTACCCAATGTGCTAAGAGCTCTGATTATGGGATGTGTCTTATTATTGCCAGATTTGACTGAGGATAATATTGGAATGCTGGGAGGTTTAGCACTGGGCAAGGGGGGGGATGATAAAATTTCAGTTTCCTCAGACTCAATCTATCACATTATTCTTTCTTTTTTATTATTTTATATAATTATTTTATATAATATGTAATATTCTGGTATTAGAGAAAATACCCTAAAGTATCAAGCTTACTTTTTTTGAATTTATTGGGGTGACATTGGTTAATAAAATTATACAGGTTTCAGGTATACAGTTCTACAATACATCATCTGTATATTGTGTGTTTACCATGCCAAGTCAAGTCTCCTTCCACAATAATTTATCCCCCTTTACCTTTTTATACACCCCCCCCTTCCCTCTAGTCAAGCTTATATTTTTAAATGATTGGTTTATTTAGCTGATCTTGGTTGAGAACTATATAATTAAATTATTGATTTACTAGTTTGTAGAGTGGCTGAAAATTAAACTTTCAGGAACCTCAATATATTCACTAAACTTAAATGTCTGACAATTTCTTTAATGTCCCTTTGAAATAAAGTTGTTGTGTTGGGCCATTGGATAGGTTATTGTTCAAGATCAAAATAATAGTGGCTTATACAAGAGCTATACTTTAAAATGCCAGTATTTGCTCACGTTGAATGATTTTGTTCTCTTCAAGTCTGAAGTTTGTCTTCATTAGTTGTCTAACCAGAAAATGCAATATAATCCCATGGTACTCAACATACTACGACGGGAAATACATTTTAAAATACCATTCACTGCAAGATACATAGCTATTGTAGGCCCAGAGATTCTTTTCTTCAGGTTTCTAAACACACTGTCTGTGCACACATAGACACACAAATGCAGAATTTTGCATGCATGGAGTCCATCTATGGAATAGGTTTACAATTGTAAACCTCCTTTTGCCCTACCCTGTAGAAGAGGTAACTCCTGAACCATTCAAAAGATCTATTATTGTATATATTTTTTATGCAATATTATCTAAAAATGCTGTTTGCAAATGACAGACGCTTATGTGCTTTAAAATCTATGGTCTGAGCATCACTGCTTAAGGTCTCAGTGGCTTTAGGTAATTATCCCATCACCTACCAGAACATTTCAAAATTCCAAGGAACTTTACTGGGCAGTGTGAACAAAATAATTACTGGGGAAACATTTTTCAATATTTTATTGCACTATGATAGGAATAATAGAGGTCATTTATAGGGGGTGGGCAAAAGTAGGTTTACAGCTGTATGGAAAATAATGCAATCATTAATAAATAATAATAC